GATTGTAGAGAGAGAAGAAGGGGGAGAGAGAGAGAGAAAGAGAGAGAGAGAGAGAGAGAGAGAGATACATCGATGTGAGAAACATTAAGTAGCTACTGGGGATGGAACCCACAACCTAGGTATGTACCCTGACCAGGAATCGACCCCACAACTTTTTGGTGCATGAGACGATGCTGAAATCAACAGAGCCACACTGGCCAGGGTATCATTTTAAGCATAGTTTTATGCTTGTTATAAAATTTTTTTTCCAGGGGGAGATCAATGGGGGAAAAAGGAGACATATGTATTACTATTTGTAATACTTTAAACAATGATTAAATAAAATAAAAAAAAACATTTTCCAAATATATTACAAAATAAAATTACTTAATTTTATAATGAACACAAATATTAGTGAACTTGGAAGCAAAAGAGCCCGGAATTGTAAAGGTTCTTTCAAGTCATCTAGTTTAATGACCCTATCATGGAAAACTTAATTTAACAATATCCCTGACCAATAATTTCCAAGTGGTGCTAAGATACACAAATGACAGGAGCCTTATTGCTTCTCAAGGTTGTACATTCCTTAAATTGGCCAAAGACAGTTTCAGCCAACTGGCCTAAATTCCAAACCACAGAATAGTACTGTGATAGTTTAATCCCTCTCCAGCATAGTAGGCCTTCAAGTAATTGAAGGAAATCTCATATCTCTTTTATGTCTTTGTTCTCTAAACTACAAACATTTCATTCATCACAAGGCATGGATCCAGTTCTTTCATCACTCACATTGCCTTCCTCTGGAATCACTCCAGAGGGATGCTCTTCTTAAAGCCATAAAACAACTCTAAAAATATCTAAAAGAATGGGAAGCATACCGCCCAGCTGGCATGGCTTAGTGGTTGAGCATCAACCTCTGAACCAGAAAGTCATGGTTCGATTCCGGTCAGGGCATATGCCCAGGTTGCGGGTTTTATCCCTAGTGTGGGGCATGCAGGAGGCAGCCGAGCAATGAATCTCTATCAACATTGATGTTTCTGTCTCTCTCTCTGCATCTATGAAAAATGTTACCATTGGATAAGCTAGGTGAAAGGCACAAGGTCTTTTTTGTATTATTTTTGCGATGTCTTGTCTCTCCCTCTCCTTTCCTCTGTGAAATCAATAAAATATAATTTGAAAAATAAATTGCAGTTCTATATACTAACAATGGACATGTGAAAACCAAAATTAGACACATACTATCTTGTGCAGCCACTCCAGAGAAAATGAAATAGATATAACTCTAACAAAATATGTACAGGGTGACTAAGTGAGAAAAAAGAGCCCAAAGGAGTTCTTTTTTAAAATAT